GAGAGAAGGCTGAAGCCCAAAGCCCTGAGCATATCCAGGATCTCCCCTCACATGGATTCTGCCTTGGTGACCTGAAAAATAAAAATCCTAGGAATGATTATTTTCTTAAAGGCTCTTTCACTTCAGAAGTAGGATAGTCACCATCAAAAGTCCAACCAGCTCAGCTCAGCAGGACAAGAGATGGACCATTGGCTACAGGTGATTGTAAAATCAGTCAGATCAGACTTCATCCACTGAAATAAGTGCCCGTTTTCTCAAAAGGATCTGAAACCCTTAGGTGTGCTGTGCAGGCATGTCCTGTGTCACTGAGAAGTGATGGATTACCCCTGAAGCTGCAGGTGCGACCCAGCACACAATGCAGCAGGATTAACCTCTGCCTGTAACAGGGTTATAAGGCTCATTACCCAGCAGCTTAATGAAGGCTCACCCTGACACAACAGTATCGACTTCGGCTCTCATGTGAGCTCGGATCTCACCACGCATATCCCCAGGTTGGCACAGGAACATCCCCAGGAAAAAAACCAAGAGCAAAGACAATTTCTACCTTAATGGGATTAGCAGGCAGCAATGCTATTAGTTCTCCAGCTCCCTGCCTCCCACTTCCTCCCCAGCCAGGGCCTCATCCTCCTAAGGTTTTGCATTCAGTCCTTTGTCCAGGTGTCACATCACACCTTCTTCTTACAGCCCAGAGCAGCTCAAAGCCCATCTCGTTGGGCACAGTAAGTGCTTCCCTGCACTGCACCTGCCTATGCTGGAAACAGCTTCTCTGCTTACTTCATCAGATTAATACAAAACATGCTATCAGCACATTGGCAGGCTCTTAATATCTTTGCTGAGGCCTTTAATGGCCTCAGGTCTTGTAAGGCATTTCATTCATCTGGTGACCGCCAGGGGTCACCTACCGAGGTGCTCTCCCCCTGCACCCCCTTCCTCAAAGCAGAGATAAGAGCACAGCTATTTTAAAAGCAGGAGGTGAGATAAAAGCACTCCCTTCAGTTCAGATGCTGCTGCCATTCCATAATTACCTTCATCTAAATTTTCAAAGGAAGAAAAAAAAAATCCAAAAATCATTTCAAATCACTCTCTCACCACGTTAGTCATCTCATTCTTGATATCAATATCAATAAAAGAAAGTAAGGACTTTATTATTTTTTTAATAGCACCCTTCAAAGCACTATCTTGAGCTATTTTTTCAAATGCCAGCATGAAGGCAGCCGGGTTGCACTCTTCTCTGTAGTTGCTTGTATCACTTTGGGATACCTGTACACTCAGGGTCAAAATGACATTTCTCCCTATTTCCTCCCCCTCCTCTCCCCGGTTCTGTAAAGCACAAAATGTGCCAGCCATCTGACAAAGTGTTCCTTCAGCACCTGTAGGAACCTGTGGCCCTGCCCTCCACACACTGCAATTGCAGTTCGCATCTTTAAACCAGCATTATTTACAGCAATCCATTTCCAATACACCACAGCTCCTTATGGCAGACACTCACAGTCCACATATTCGTTAATCTACAACCTTCCTTTGTGAAAACCTACAGAAATACACAGCTTGGAATCTTATTCCAGAGCAGAATCATCCTCCATGCAAAGAGCTATACAGAATAACTGTTTCAATGAGTCTGAAAAAATAAATAGGGCAAACAAGTACCTAGAAGTTAGAAGAAAACAAGGAATTCAAATATTTGTTTATGTTTTTGATCACCACCTGAATTTTTGCAAAGAGAACTTGAAACAGTTACCTGCAAGTCAAGACTTACCTTATTTTTTTCTTCCTCACCTTAAATCTGCAAAAAATCTTCTTTTAAATTGAATGGATTTGAAAGATCACAAATGTATAGATAAGACAGCACTACTCAGTGGTCAGGAAGCTGGATCTTGGAAGATGCAGGTTCTGTTATTCCTGAAACTCATCTTTATGTTTCTCCCTGTCTCAGGTACCCCCTACTTAAAAAACACTGCAAATCGTCCTCCCAACCTTAATAACAGATAAAAAGAAAGAAGAAAGAGTAACAAGAGTAACAGTAAAAAGAAAAAAGAAAAAGTACTTGAGAAACATGACTTCAACAAAGCAGCCAAAGGATTTCTATTTAGCTTCCTGAAGGAAGCTGACAATTGGTCTAGAATGATTTTCACATATTTCAGGTAACAGATACCAGACAGACCAATTCATTTTACCAAACCCCTTCTACTGTGAGTGCTGCACTTCCAGCTTCACTTGGGCTTACGGTGCATTTCTATGTGAATTTCTAACCCTGACCTGCAGTCAGCTCCAGAGATTGGCTTTGCTGATGAAGATCTGCTGCATCTTTTTGTGGCTTTTTTTTTTTTTCCACTGTAGAAGCTCAGGTATGATTTTATTTTATGTAATCCATGCTCAACCAGCATATCTAACACGACACCTTGAAAACGGATATGTAAGCCAGCTCCTTTACTCCTGAAGCAAAGCACTCTCCAAATTCACTTGGGGTAATTCCTTGCTTCTGCTAACTCCTCTGCTCTGCACAGGCTGCCAAGGGAGAACAATAAATACAGCAACAGATGCATGGAGAATTTTTGGTCTTGACTTTGCACAATATCTCAGTAAACAGAAATTAGCAAAAGAGCAGCCAAATATCAACCATATTTCCTTAGTCTGCAAAGGCACTCATTGTGCAGCATTTAAATACTTCTTATTCAGGTAAAAGAGCTGGAACACTTAAGAAATCTCCAAAGGAGTTTTTTATATACATATATATATACACACATATACACCCCCCCCCCCCCACATATATATATCTCAAACAGCCAACCTTGCTGTCCTCCCTGTATCCCATACACTCTGCAAGCTAGTGCTACCTTGGATGCAGTGTTGGGCAAAGAGTGTTTACTAAGGTAACTCTGTCACAAACAAATGAGAAGAAAAATCTACTCTGTCAAACACAACATCATACTTCATCACTGTGCTGCAAACATGACTCCCATCTGTCAAGGAAATGGCAGGTATTCCAAATAAATGTAACTAAGATTCATTCAGTCAAACTGATGTGGCCAGGGTGTTCCTCCAGAAGTGAGTGGGTTTGGGTGAAGCTGAGCTGTTACTCCTGTTGTTCTTACACAGGTGAAGGTTCTTGTACTTTTGTGCTAAGAAATGATAGTGGTTTAAATCTGAAGGAGTTACAGGTTGTGGTATCAAATAACAAGATATGAAAGGTTTTACTTCAGGGTAACTGATAGGAATTAACCTTAGGTAAGAGCTACTAGGAAAACAAAAAACAAAGCCACCTGTAGAGTGGCTGTTGGAAGCATACAGGAAGTGATGGTCCCAAATCAGTTCTCAGTGAATAGGGGTCTTCTGCATGGTATACAGCACCAAAGCAACTGCACTGCTGAAACACTTAGTACCCATTCCTTCAGAAATGCTAAGGGTGTGACCAGCCCCAAAACTGCTCTACCTCTTCTCCAGTGGTCCCCTCAATAAGGCTGTAAGGAATACCACTGGGATTTTGGGAAGCAGAGAATCATGTTTCAGTTTATCTATTCACAGTCTGTTTGGCAGATAAACAGAAAAGTTAATTCCCTAGAGAGATCAATCCAGTACTTTTCCAAAGTGCTTTATGCAATATGCATACCATCAACTTCACTTTGAAAAGCAGAACTGTGAATTTCCACATGAAGATGTCTTGTTTTCAATTAATAACAGCACATCATTTTGGACTACAGCTCTCCAAACAGTAAAAAGCTGCTTATTTCTCTCTCCAACAGATAACTGAGGCTGACTGATCAAGAGACTGCTTACGAACCAGCAAGAAAAGAAGCCGCACTCAGAAACCACTGCTGCCTATTTAATTTTTAAGGTATAAAAATTAAGATCTTTAAACAAATCAAAGAAGAGAGAATAAAAAAGATTAATCAGGGAGCTTAGCTGGAGAGTATGGTATTTATTTTTATAAGCAGCTGTCTTCTGAATCAACATTTCTCAAGCATAGCTCTTGCTGGGATGTGACTGAATGAGCCAGCTCTGAGACCCCAGCATTCCCTCCCCTGCAAAGAGCCCATTATGACAGCCTCAACAGCTCCATCTCCCCTGTGCTGCTGGTGTGAATTCTGGATCCACAGCTATTTTGGGGCAGTTTGCCAGCATCAAAGGTTACCATCTGAGAATCTGGGCGAAGGCATGTGATTTAATTAGTGAGGATAATGGTAACACTGGCGTGCCTTTACAAAGGTAGCAAGTGGAGAATAGTCATGGAAGAAAAATATGTCAACCCAACCTCTCATATAGATGCAAATATTTAGATGTAACATTTGAATCTGTTCTCCTTAGTCTGTTAAAGTAACTTCATAACATAAGGGGTACTTGTTAACAATAGTCCTTTGAGTGACTTTGATAAAAAGAGTGGCTACGATCCAGATGTCAAGTGGGCCTGGACTTCATGAGGCTGGACAGTTCCCATGATAGTGGTGGTGCCTGCACCAGCACCTGCCAGGGAAAGAGTCCTGACATGGGACTGCAGCCAGACACGCTGCCTCCACAGAGCATCTCAACTTGAATCTGGCTCACACGTCTGACACGTGGATCACGGACCTGGAGACAAACAGAGACGCTGTGCTGGGAACGTAAGTGGTGGGAAAGTGGCAGGCAGAAGTGAATGCTGAAGGCCCTTTGGCTGTGTTAGTAAATCTGTACACAGCACAGAGCACAAATCTCTGCTGAAGCCTCTAGAGCTTTGCAACAAAGCAGACAACAAAGCACAACTGGTTCAGATGCCTTATCATTGGTAGTACAAACAGAACAGCAAAATGAGAAATTATGAAATTAAGCGATTTTCATTTGTATAATATATTTTTATACACGCAGGTACATGTGGGTTTCCCACATACTTTCGTTTTAAGAACATATTTAAAACCCACAAAGATTTAGCAAAACTTAAAATGGAATGCAAAAGAAGTTGTAAGAAGCCTCACGTAGGAGGCTATAAACTAAAACAACTGAGGCTTCATGAGGGGACATGCTCACTTGTGAACAGTATTAAAACACCAATTTTATTCAGGAATACAGAATACATTTTTGAAGATTTCCAGTTTACAAAAGTTTAAGACAAGGTTATGTTTCAACATACAACTTCCCTTAAAGAGTTTAGATAACTTCTCCATTTCAAGTTGACAAAGCCCCTCAAATCAGAAAGAAAAAAAAAAAAGGACAAATGAAGGCCACTGTCCTGTACTGGGATACATTAAGGCAGAATCCAGCACAGTATTCAAATTCTTCCTGCAGTCCATATTTTAGTCCATGGGTGTAATATAACCTTGTGTTAATAAAAAAATACTTCAGATCTATTAGGAACTGCAAGAAAAGCCCTTGTCTTACAGTTTTAATTACAGACATTATATGCAAAGTAACTTCCAATAAGCAACAGTTAAAGACAGTACTTGTCATCTGATCACCACATTAAAAATACAGCATTAAATTTTTCCTTCATTTATACATTTTTAAATATTCATTAAAAATCAGAATCAGTGTCCCTCCATCCTTTTCATCATTAATAGTTTTTCTTATCTGCTAAAACCACTTGTCTTTCCTAAGATGTCTAAAAAGTAAAGAGCACAAGATTAACAAGCTGCAGCATTAATTAAAATAAGAGTCATCTCTTTCCTCCACTCAGTTTCTAAATCTATCACAAGGGCCCTATTAGCTGTATCAAAGTGAAGTGGTGTAAATAAAACTGATTTGACTTAAAAAGAAAGTAAGAATGAATGCAGAGTTATTTAAAAATTGCAATGCAGTCAGTATTGTTGTGTATGTCACTGCAGAGAAGAGCCAAGGAAATTATTCACAGGCTCTCTTTTAAGAGCATTACTGTCAGTTTTCCATTTCCAATACCAGAGGTAAATAGTAATTTGCCTAACAAGGAATTTCAGATTACTATCAAGCAGAAACATTAATGGCCTAATTTTAAATACACAGCACTGATTTCAGCAGAGGTTACAGACACTCAAAACTCCTGAAATTTATTTACTTGTTTGTTTTAAATAACCTTATTTCCAACAGGCTAATCCACATTTCTTTATTTACCTCAAGTAGTCATTTCTTCAAATACTTTTGTTCAAATACATTAACAGCTGTGCTGAGAAGGACTACTCAATACTGGACACCATTCAGTACAGATGTGGAAACAGAATTTGGTTCTGGAAGAAAACTTTAATTGATTTTACTTTTGTAAGAATGGGTCTTTGAAACAACATCCACTTGTTTAAATATTAAGTAGAAAAGAAAGCTGTTGGACAACTAACCTCAAACTAAAAGGTTAAGAGCAACTGCAAACAATAGGATGATCAATTCCAATTTTACCCACTATTGAAAAGAAATCCTACCATGTGGTATTGGATGAACATTTAACTTCAGCCTAAATGCTGAAAAGCTACTGATTGTCAATGAAATATTTAATTTAATCAGCAGATTTCCCAAAGATTCCACTGATTAGTGCAGCGTAATGCTGTATTAACACTACTAAAAGTGACATATCATAAACAACTCCTGTATAATACTACAGCAATTTCCAGAGCAACCAGCTAGCAAACCTGTTCTGCAAACCAGAAAACTGGAGTAAGACCAAGCACCCCAAGTTTTAGCATGTCTTTTTGGAGCAAGGTACTGAACTTCTGTCATCCTCAAAGTTCAGTGGTCCCCATGAATAATAATGAAGAGGAAGACAAGATTTGTTGCTCTTTTTGGATCTCTAGACAATGATATGTAACAACACCCAGAAATGTAGATAACAGCCTCCCAAATCAACATTCAAACAGAAAGGCACGATCTCCTTTTATAACTTGTGTTCTCAAAAACTAGAAGATTCCTATACAAAGATAAATACTCCCTTAGCTAGAAGGGAAAATGTCACACCATTTAGAATGTTTTTTTCTTTTCTTTTTTCTCTGTAAAGTCCAAATGGACTATCTTAATGCAAAAGTTACATGAATATATACAACCTGAAAGAGTATTTTTAATATATATATTTGTACATATATAAAAGTGACTGACACAGAAGGCAGAGAAGCAAGCTATATTCACTCTTTTCCCACTTCTTAGCAATGCAAGGCAATGTTTTTCAGATGCCATAGGCACAAAATATTTGGTTTGAACACACAGTGGTGTCTTAGAATACACATGGTGAAATGTAATTCCCCATGGAAGGCTTGTTTGAGGGATACTGGACACAATGATTTAGTTTCATTAATACAGCCTTAGGCACCTTTAAAATAAAAAAGATATCTAATTCCAATGAAACTACTGCAAACTCTTCAATGGCATGTTTTCAAGTCCAATATAAAGTTTTTAAAATTGCAATTGAAGAACATCCAAGGTTAATTCTGATACCTCATTCTGATATATCTGTCTTACAAAGGCCAAACATAATCTTAATGAAAGGCAAGAGGGACAGCAGGGCCCAGTAGTCACAGGAGACATCCCTACACCTGCCTGTACTATTAACTATTCATGTACCTGAGTTTGATGTACCTGTAAAATAAAGAATAACTGTCTGCTATGTGACAATGACAACAGTCTGCCTACAATGTTGGATGGAGTCATTAATAAGCCAAATCTTGCTTGGTGAAGAGCAGCATAATTAAATGCTTGAGTTCCCAGCAAGGATGAAATCTTACCCAACCTTGTACATTACATTACAAGAACCTAGGAGCAACAACTTCAACAAGACATCAAGACAGGCTGCCATTAATCTGCTTCCAAAGTCAGCCAAGCCCATCACCATTACAATTCTCCAATACTTCCCTTCACATCATCTCAGTCCTGGTACCTGTGCTTGTAAATCTACCCAGCCCCTGCCTCTTACATAACATGGCAGTAGTTATGTACTACACTCCAGCTCAAAAATTCTTGGGTTCTGAACATGTAACTTTTGGGTGAAAGAAGTTACCTTAGAAAGATGGGAAGAAGAAAGCAAGAGGTGTGGGCAGTCTGCTTCCTTCATTTCCTTGGAACAGCAAAGGCTGCTTAATGGCACGGTTCTTTTGCATAGAAGGAGTGGGAAATGCAGGATAGACAAACACAAATAATTTTTCATGGCAAATTTCCGCCTGGACAAGAGGAAGACACTGCATTGTTTTCTGTATATGGAGCACAAGCACAGCACTGCAGTGGCATTTAAACTCATGGCTTCTTCCCTCTTACCACTCTGAATACCCTTACCTCTGAGATGCTTTCACATGGGTGATTTCAATAAGGTGCACTGAAACACACTCGACAGGAGATCATTCAAGAGTTAGGACAAAAAGACATAAATAATCCTCGTTTTCTGCAGAAGTTAGAATTTCAACCAAACGAACATGAATAATGCAATCTCCATAAAAAATGAGATCATCAAAAATGAAACTTTGACATCTAGAGTTCTTGTGGAGCAGCAGAACTAAACCTATGTGATGCACTACATACATACCTACACATAGTATTACACATGTATATCCATGCATGTACTTACACACACTAAAGACAGGGACAACAAGCCTAACACCTTCCACCATGTGACCTACTTTCAGATATTTTACCGATATAACAAACTAGCCATTGAACTTAAAGCTTTCTGTGCTGGGTGTTTGCCTCAGACTGGTTTTGGTGTTGAAGATTTAGCTTTAATAATTCGGATGTTTTCTTTGTTTTGTTATTTAGTTGTGGGTTGGGTTTTTTTTTAAGAGGGAATACATGGAGTAATGTTGTTTTTCCACACAGAAAAAGAAGTCTTGAGCTGCATTTTTGAGAAGCTTCAGTGCCTCTGTACTCAGCCTTGAAGTCTGACAGATAAACCTTTGTGGTGTTGCTGAGACAACCCATGCAAATCTGGCCTAGATATTAGCATCTGTGAAAAAAACCTTGTTTTGCTCAGATACAGTTGTTGCATCCTTACAAGCTTAAAACTCCTTCATGGTGAGAATGTTCCAGGCCATGAAGAGAGGGGTCAAGTAGGACATCTGCAATTTGAGCACTGCCAGGGGGCTGGCATTGGGCATCAGATCTCCAAGCAGAACGACTGCTTCTCGTGCTTCATTGACCACCAGTTGGCACCAGGCAGTAAGAAGAAACAGCTCACATGCTGACAAGATGGGAGGCAGTTTGAAAACAAGAGTCCTTCTGGCACAGTTCTTGTGTGGAACTTCTGTATATATTATACACATACATATATACATTCATATACAGTAAGCAGTCCAATAAATACATCACATCAGTTCTTTTGACACAGTACTGATGTTTCTCTTATTTGTCTGAACCAGAACCTGCTCACAGAAATATTATGGAGAGTTGATGTGACTCCAGGTTTAGCCCTCTATACTTGATGAGTCCAAAATGCTGAATTCAAATACTAACTTAGTGTGAATTCAAATCAAGTCATCATTCAGGCACATGTCCCCCTGAAACCTATTAGCCACTGCAGACTAACTCATACAGACACAGTAAAAGCCTTCCTGCCCGTCCCAAATACTGGAGCAGTTACACTTCTCTTTCAGCGACGTGGTTGACCAGAGAATCGCTCTGATCTACTGTCCTCCCAAGAAGAGTTCTGTGGCCATCCATGCTGCCATGGATGTCTCTTGTCCATCCACTGTTGGATGTGCCCAGAGGACTTTCTGCCCTGGGGGTGTCTGTGCTGGCCAAGCTTCCTGTCCGAGATCGGTAAGGAGGAAGATCTGGTTGATTAGGGGATTCAGATTCAGAACAATAAGGTGGTGGAGGAAGGTCAAACCAAGGTGGTCTGCTGTAAGATACACAACAGAGTAAGAAGTTACTGAAAACAGTGGTACAGAAGACAGCACATAGTATTCCAATTATGAAAAAACCAAACAGTATTTCTTAGTTTTTTAATTATGACACATATGAGGAGATCTCAGACCTGCCTGTAGGTAATTTCAAAATATCCACATCGTCCCTGGGAACCCAGATTTCTGGTCAAGGTGCAACATAACTAATTACATCCTGCTTAACAATCCACACTCTGAGTTAGGACCTCCAACAAAGCTGGCTCAAAGACAGCTGCAAGAGGTAAAAAATTTTTCTGTATAATATTTACACCAGAGAAAGCACTTTGAAAGAAATATCGTAAGTGGTGGATTTACACCTACAGATAATGATGTGAACACAAGACTTAAGCTCCCAGGAAACCTCCATTAAGTGACAGAGATTAATGGCTTAGAGACTATGAATAAATAACAAACTGAATTCTCCACACTGACAAATCACTTTTGCTGTCGTGAGACCACATACAGAGCGACTGCTAAGTAGCCACAGACAAGATGAGTACTGCATTCAGGAAAACTGTTCTGTGGTTCTGATAGCAAACAAATAAAGGGACTGAAGGGTTGAGCAGATTGATAACAGGTCCTGGGAGCAATTAGCTCTGAAATTGCTGATGGTTTGTATCAGCTCAGGTGAGAAATGATTACAGGCTGGACAGCTGCTCATTTAGTTGTCCTTACTAATGAAAAGAAATAATTATTATGAAAGTCAACATTAAGACAAGAGTTCTGCAGCCAAAGGAAACAGAGAATAGGAATGTAAATTTATTATTCTTAGATCTCACAGTTCATACTAAAAAACACCAATGTGGTGATAGTGAACAATCTGGATCATTAAAGTTTGTACCATACCCTTTTTATGTAGGGAGGATGTCAGTCTAGGATTTTTGTTGGGAAAGACTTTACAGACAGAGATTAAAATGAGGGTTAATTCCCTACAAATAAAACCAGTGTCATAACTACAAAAAAACCAAAAACGTCATAAGCCAAACCACACCCACCCACCAAACTCCAAAGCACTTTCAGCTATTTAAAATAAGAACAGTGCTTTACATTTCAGAGTCCCGTTCTTTTCTTCTGTTGGTAAAGTAGTGCAGAGCAGAAGAATGATACAATTTCTTTATAGAGGAATTGAAGAACTCTCTCACTCATATACTTACTGTATATGAACAGGATTGGGTTTTTTTTAATGCTATGACCTGTAACATAGCTGGTTTTTTAGCAAAACTCCAAATTCAGTTTTCATGTTTTGACTCCAGACTAGCACAGGATATCAATACTAGACAAGTGATACATTCTTTTGCATTTTCCTACCATTCTCAAAATCTCTACTACCAACAACATGTGCTAAGAGAACCTGATTTAAAGTTTGCCTCAAATCCCTTCAATATCAGTAACAGTAAAAGGACCTGAGGACCACGAATTTTTCAGATGCAGGAGGAGCTCAAATTCACCCTGAAATTTCACCCTATGCATGCAACAGAAGTGCAACACCAGAATTCTGTCAAAAGCAGTAATAAGAACAAGTGGGGAGCAGCAGCACAGCTTAACAGAGCTGTAACCACCAGTGTGAAACAGAGTTACCTCCTGTACATACCTTTGGTCGAGCACAGCCTCCGAGTAGGATGGCGGGGAGTCCAGGTCCACAGGCCTGTGGTAGGCCTGGTTGGACATGTACTGTATCCCGTTGTTGACGTTGTAGGTGACGCTGCAGTGGTGTGGGTGATCCAGGACCACCAGCCGGGACAGAAGCACAGGGTGCTGCAGGCGATGCACCGGCAGCGTCATGAGATTGTTGCGCTTCCGCTGGTGGTGCAGGACCAAGGCAAGAAAGGCCACCACGAGTACAAAAATGACAGAGCTACCAATGATGGCATAGGTAATACTGGGGTAGTAAAGCAGCTGGTTTTCTGAGGTCACGTAGTCTTGGCCGCTGCCTGCCTCTGTAAGACAAAAGGAAAAGGAAGCCTGAGATTTGTTTCAATATAAAACTGCTTTTGACCTGTGTTGTGTTTCCTGCTAACACACTGTGCAACAAAAGCAGGTTTTCCTCTTTTGTCTGGATTGTGAAAGATTGGATTATTAAAAGTACACGCATGCAAATAGGAGACTGGCTGGCTGTCCCTCAGTCCATCCTCATTCACAGTAAGTGCCAGCACATAAACTATTAGGCAGAGACAAACTGAGAAAGAAAAAAATGCACACACCATAGCAGGAAGTATGTGCACTATTGTGGGAGCATCTCCCCATCCCTACCTATCAGTCATTAACTTTTGTTTCCAGAGGTGAGAAACCCTGTTCAAGCCATAACCACAGTACCTCAGCTGCACCTGACAAACCACATTAGAACCAGAGATGCAGAAGGACTGATATCCACTTTTTTTACTTTACATTCCCCTGACACCATTTCAGCCCCATGTTCACAAGGTCATGCAGCCTTCGAGTAAGATTTTCTTTTTTGGGCAAAAATTTCCATTTCTGTGCAGGCTGTAATTCCTTATGGACTCAAACAGGCTATTCTGACATTCCTCGACCTCAAGAAAAACAAGAGGCTGAGTAAAAAGCAAACCAAACCAACCCAACACAAAATCCACACAATTACAAGAGCACGATCCATCCAAATTCTTAATTTCCTACTGCAGAAGGCTGGGACAGTAAATCTTGATTTTCCTTTCTTTTCTCTATCAACCAAAACTGCTTTTTCGTCATTCAGAATTGCAAAAGAGTCACTAAACCATTTCTCTAGCAACAGAATAATGAAATAAATATTGACTGTGTCCAGCATAATAGAAGAGCTTTCCTCAAGCACCCATTGTTCAGAGTTATCTCTCTCAATATTTGATTTTGGTAGTTCACTTCCATGGTTAAACAAATCACAATTTCCAGCATCACTAAAAATAACTTCCACATTAGTTAACAAGATAATACAACATAAAATGGCAAATTCTTTAAACATATCTATTTTAAAGCATAGATATTTAGACACTGGAACAGGTTGCCCAGAGAAGCTATGGATGGCCCATCCCTGGAAGGGTTCATCCAAAGCCAGTTTAGATGGGGCTTTGAGCAACTTAGTTCAGTGGAAGGTGTCCCTGCTCATGACAGAGGGTTGGAACAGGATGATCTTAAGGTCCGTTCCAATTCAAACCATTCTATGATTCTGTGATTATTAATCCTGCTACCAACTTTGAAAACTAGCACTCAAATAGATGTGTTTTACTGATGATGTCACTATAACCATAGACCAAAGCTCTGCAGGACAGCTGCAAGCCACAGACTTTGATTGATACCTAGTGTAACACCTCAGGGAGGATCCTTACTAAATTTATTTCTCCATGCAACTGTACTGGAGAGAAAGCAGAAATCACTGTTACCAGTCAACAGTAGGTCTCTGGCTCACTCAGCAAAGTGAACAAAGTCTGCATGAAGAATGTAAATCAAAGCAGAAAGGAGGAAGGGAATTGACATGCATTAGTAATTTTAATTACAGCTCATCACATATTAGTGTGCCTCTTTTAATACACCCTTAAATTCAACAGCTGAGAAACGAATTCAGGTCACGTATCACAGACAAGGGCCAGCACAGGGAGTATAATGACAAGCAGATCATTTTTATGCAAACATCAACAAGTTTATTTGCAAGGGCTGATCCATGGATGAATACCACTACCTGCAGTCTTTAGTGCAAGGAAGGTAAATATATTATGACATCCCAGTAAAACACCACAAGACTCCCATTCACCTTGGCTCACTGTTTACAGTGCACTGACATAAGACTGAAACCAGTATGCCTTTGCAGACTTGATGAGATCTAATTAGTTACCATGGGATCATTCTGCAGCACAGTTCCTTCCCTTTATAATCTCCATCTTATTAAAAGGGAAGAAAAATGAGAGAAGTATGTAAACTTCTTTTCTAAACTTTAAAGGTTATCTACCTGTTTGGGATAGTATCTTCTAGGTCCTGCACCAAACAATTCCATAAATCCAAATGGATTAACCAGACTGCTGAAGAAGTACTTTGTCAAAAGTCAGATGGGATCTGATGACCAGCTTTAGGACAGTGTGAAAGACATCTCTTTTATCTGGTTTTATAGTCTTTTTCATAAAACAACCACACATATATTGTGCAGAGATCTGGGGTAAATTTGCAGTTAACATGCTGTTTTGGAGATTGGGATTACCGTGGCTAATGAAACATCATTTATTTACCAGTAACTATTATTGTTCAGGTTTTTAGATCCATTCCTTGTATTCCCATTTAGTTCACTGTCTCTCTGAAAACAAGAACAACCTAAGGGCATGCCTACGGATCTGTGTGGAAATCGATGAACCAGAAGCAGAGCCATGAAGGTGCTGTTTTGAATAGTGCTGCCTGGTGCTCTTTGAACCGACCAACAGCAAAAATGCATTTGGGATTGGAATTAGTATCTCTACCAGTCCAGCCAATTCTATCCCATGCGATTTTAACATGAAGTTGCACCAAGGAGTACTGAGATTCTTCCTGTGAAGAATCTAGTTTATCTGCTAAGTGCTCCTTCTTGTGCCCCAGGCAGTGTTGAGTATTTGCACAGAGAAACTCTCCCCATTCAAAGAATCCAGTTCCCTAAACATGGATAGTATCTGTAACTTTACAGGAATAGACCATATCAAAGATGGAGTTCTACCTAGAGAGATTCAGCTATCATTGAAACAGTCTTATTCCACCACAATAACGACCTTATGATAGGTGGGACTTCTGGTCCAAGAAGACATAATCTTATGCTCCCTTAGCAAACTATGCTTACAAGTATTTTAAGCATACTTGCAAGCTTCTGCTCTGGTATAGTTTATACTACAAAAGACCAACCTCTTTTCTAGCAAAGTCAGTAAATCCAAACCTGCAAAAGATGAAAGTAAAATTACCTGAGCCTATCAGCACTGCTTGGCTTGTAGCCCTGGAGAGGGCACTGTCCACTCAGAGGCAAAGAAATGAACTGCCCTTAACAGTCTTCCAAAGGAATGCTCTCACAAGAAAACTGCTCTGTGGCACAGCTAAAACAGAAGTAGCAGAACTATGAGGCAGTTTTGCATACAAGAGGCTTTTACATCACGTTTTTGCTTCATCTTACTAAAGATCTGATCATGTTGAAATAAATAACTTCTTACAGCTCCATGGTAACGTTCTGGTTTTTTGTAGAGCCTGGTAAATATACAGACGTGTGTAAGGGAATGAGGGGTACTGAGCTGAGACTGCCTGAGGAACCTCTATCCATTTTATGCACACTGTATAGGGAGAAAGTGAGACACAGAAAACACCTTAAAACTTTCAGCTGGACATGCACGACTAAAGGAAACAAAAGCCATGACTCTTTAGCTCTGCTCTAGTAACTTTCAGCAAATGTTTACAGAAGTAACTGAACTGAATTTCTTGATAATTCAGCTATCCTCTCCTAGGAGAAGCAGGTATTATCCAGGCAGGTTTAAAAAGTTCCATCTGCTGTGCTACTAAGTGCAAAATTCACAAAAAAGGCGAGTGGGCAAGCGAATTTAATTTAAATTCATGGAATATTTATTCTTTCATGCTTCCCTCCCCCCCTTAAGAAGATCTGTTTTCTAATTGTGCCACATATAAACAGTTTATCAATGCCACTTATGCCTATTAAATCCTAGTATCCAGGAAATGCTGAATTCACAGATTAGAGATTTTTGGAGTGTAAAAAGCTTTGTGAATAATTTAAGAAAAGACTGATAAAGGAAATGTAACGGGTTGTGCTCAGAGTGCTATTTTATTGACTGTGAACAAATCTGCTGTCTCAAAGTTTAATAAAAGACCTGAGAATAACTGCATTAAGTCTGCCAGACACAGGGATGAGAGGCTATTATTTTATCTTTCACAATCCTCTGCTCAAGCCTGGCTTTTCACAGTTCATTGGAGAAAAAGCTTTTGAAATACATAATCTGAGCAGACATCTGTAGCCTTAATGAGCACGAGTCACGGTCCATCTCCAACAAAGATGCTACTGTAACAACACATTTAAATTCCAACCGGTAAAGTGCAGAGCTGCAGCTTGGAAGGGTAAAGACAACAAAAATCAAATACAGACCAGGCAGAGCCTCCGCACATTATTTACTTTTTGTGCTTGAGGTTCCTAGGGCATCCTCGGTCTCCCAAAATTCATATTTCTCATCATTGATGATTTTATGTCCCACTAAAACAAGTCTTACACAGATTTTGTGCCCTGAACTCTCAGAATGCTCTTTATTCTAGTGATGTCCTTTCTAATCCAGTTATGTTTTTTCCCCATTGCCCTTCTCAATTACAAACAAGATCCATCTCAGACAACACAGAACCTTGACTTCATGAAGTTTCATGCTAGGTTACCATTGTTCCCCTCCAAAAGAAGTTTCACAGTTCCTTTAGACACCACAGACAAGGATTTGTTTTCAACCGCATTCCAAGTGTGGTTTTGCTCTGCTTTGGCTTTCTCTGTTTCAGGCACGGAAGAGAGATTCACTAACAGAGGTGTTACACATACTGAAGAGACCTTATCTATGGGAATTGGCCAAAGGAATACAATATGAATTCATCTTTGCTTACCAGGTACTTGGTAAATGGATAAAATTTCCGGGAAAGCAGCAGGATGAAGTTCTTTCCAAGTATGCCTATAATGGCAGTGGCTTCACATCTGGACAATGTGTATCTGCACAGATGTCCTGTCTTGAAATACCCTGTTTAACTCTCTGCTAATTATGAGTGCCCCTAATACCCACAGACCAGAACCACAGCAATCAGAACAGTCTTTGATCTAAGAAGTTGAAGCAAAGCATGGATCTATTGCCAGTTTTTGAAGTCACCCCTCAGGTCATTTTCTCCACATCTGCCTGGCTCTTTGCCCTGCTATCCCCACCTGAAAACTAGACAGTGATGTTCCTGGATTCTCAGGATATTCTCCCAAGCTCTT